CTGTCCCTTGGCTGCTTCTTGTGCCCTGAATGTTACACACTTCACATCTGCAGAGATTCTTTATATTACTTCAGTGATAATTATTATCAAGTTGAAAGTTACTTCTTTTTAAAGTCAGAATGCGGTGTTTATGTTTATGTACTGTGGGACAGATTCTGTCTGAGATCTGTTTATTCTTAAATGGTGTGGTAACTGTGGTGGCTGTACAAAGCACATGTATATATGTATATATATAACATATGCCACTCGTCCTCCAGCAGCTCTCGGTGAGTAAGAATCATCAAGCAGCTGACTGTGAACTGTATATAAATAAATGCAGAGCTGAAAAAAACAGAAATCTGTATCTTGTGACTGGCCTGACTGCACAGGTGGCTCCAGCCTTTGCCAGGGCATGGGGCCTGCTGTTGGGAACACGTATTTCTTTCCAAGCAGTTTCAAAAGTAGGTCACTGGGCAGTAGTACAAAGCAACCTACTTTCAGAGGAGAAGAATCTGGGGTCAAAGAAATGTTTCCAACGAATCTGTACATTCTAGAAAGCAAGCTGGGTCTGGTTTTTATGTACACCAATGTCCTAGCAACGGCACAGCATTTCTGCATGAGCAATGTCAAACGAAGTGATCTGTTTCTCTTTAGTTACAAGGGTTTGACCCGGGACAGCCTGGCCAGTCAGGCGATTCCAGTGTGCGTAGCAAGTTCAGTGCTGCTCCTTTGTTCAGATACAAAGTACTTGCCACAAGGAAAAAACAACGTATATTCCTATCTGAAAATATTACTCATCCCTGCCTTAGGTCTCTCTCACTGTGTATGACATAGGATAATTATATTTACCTATGTACAGTTGTGGAGATAAGTGGTTTTTTCTCGAAACCTGTAACACTGCAGTAAGGCTGCGTCGTTGCTGAAGTTCGAGCTCCAAGACAAACAGAGCTGTGGCGTGTTAGTCCTTGTCCTTGTACTGCCAAGGTCAAGGGTTACAAACATAACGAGTCACCATTCAAAGTCCTGTGAGATTAACTGCAATATTAGGAGATTACCAAAATAAGACAACTATCTGAGTTTTGTTTTTTAAGCGTTATGCTAAAAATACCTTAAATAAATAAAGTTTTTAATAAGCCGCCAACTTCAGGAGCTGAAAGCTTAAGGCAAACAAATAGATATCCAGATTTGTAGTTAAAAAAGGAAAATGAGCAACGCTCCTCTGTCTCCCTGTTTGTTTGAAGCCTATTTTGACTTCGCAGGGCACAGCTTTGAGATCTGTGCTGCCATGATAAACAGGCTTGGGCATGTCTTTGTAGCTCTAAATGACCCAGAGGAGCATGTGGCAATTCACTGTGCTTCTGATGTAAGAAGATTTCCAAAGGGCCATTTATAAAGACACCATCAGCCTAAAATCACAGGTTTGTGTCTGCACGTTAGGCCAGCGAGAGCAACAACTAATAACGAGGTCTGTGCTCAAAATGACGTGTCGGCATCTCCTGAGCCGGCCTCCTGCCTGCGAGGCTTTTGGAGCTGCTCCAAGCTGCACTGCAGTGAAGGAGCTCTCTTTGTTCGCCTTCTCTGCTGCGTCTGAGCCGATCCAGCGCGGGGTTTCTGGGGCCACGGTGTTCAGCAAGAGAACAAAGCAGCACCTTGAAAACCAGAAAGACAGGAGAAATAAGTGCTAAACCGCTGTTAATCATTATTGGTATGTTTCGATAGGACCTCTCTAACAGTAAACGAAAACAAATACTGCCAAGGCCGTTCTGAACAGCCTTCGTCCTTTGGCCCAGAGGCCAAAGGCCTCTGGCTTTTGTCCTTTGGCTCTTGTATTTTGTCTTCAGATCCAGTCTGGATCCCTTGGTGGTGAGGAAAATGTCCTGAATGCTTCCCCCTCCACAAGTCAGACGAAAATCCAAGCACCGACATTTTTCTCCTCTGCACAAACTATGCAGTTTTAACCACCTCCATTATTTGTGGTGTTAGCTATTACACTACTTCCAGTTTCCTGCTTATTAGATGAATAGCATCCACAGTGCCTTATTCTCTTTACCCCACAAACATGGAGCTGCTTTCAATGCTGCTTTTGCAATGAAAATGCCCTTACAGACCGAATCTCGATGTGGCTGCGAGCCAGGTCTGCAGAGCTGAGTCACTGTTACACAAGCAGAGCTGAGATGGCACAGAGAAACACCTTTGTACTTCAGCATTCAAACATGTCAGCTGTTGAACTTTGAGTACCACAAGACACCTACAGAGAACAAAGTGTGATTTACTGGACCTGTCCTCTTGCCATCCCATCATCTTTCTGAATAATTCCTCCTCCTCCCTTTTGTCTCAGAAGCTTGAGAGCAAAGCGTTCTTCATCAAGCTATTGGTTTCCACTGAAGTTTGGCAAGCATTGCATCAGATTTGGAAGTGGTGTACCAGAGAAAGCTGTTAACTCTTTGGG